AGGTAGGATATACAGATGGATTTGATTTAGTATGTGTAAATAACTGAATAAAACTCCAGGAAGAAAAGTGAAGAAAACCTTGGGTTTTGGTAATGAGCTGCAGCAGAAGTACAAACTCCCCAACACGTACTGTGCTTTTATAGCACTTCAGTATCATTTGAAGCAGTACAAAAAGCACAACAGCAGAAGCCTCTTCAACCTTTTTTTAAGCCCGTAGACAGAAATAACATTGTCTCCCAAATGTTTGCCCTCCCTAAAAATATAATTCTAACGAAATCTTCATATTTTGTTAATCCATTAGGCTTCTTAATTGCAGCCCTGGCTTTATCAATTCAATTGGCGCCCTTAACTTTTATAACAGTTTCTATTCTACAGAACAGATTAGGAGAAAATTGCAGCCATAATCTGTACAGTGCAATTGCCGTGCTATAAAGAGGAATGGGAGTAGCTGAGAAGAGCAATTGGATTCCCAAAGGTGGAGCACAGTAGAGCAATATCAGTGACTTTGTAAATGAAAAATTGTTTTAATTCCCTTCTAACAGCAATAATTCGATTCTTCATAAATTTTTCCATCAAAGTGTTGTAAGGAAAAATGCTATAAAATAGAATTGCATGGCAGTGATGGAAGACAGTTGAACAAAGGGGTCAATTAGGGGATGAAAATTAAGCAAAGAGAAGAATCTGTTCTGTCACATTTTGCTCGAAGCGAGAAACTCCTCTGCACTTTACATTTTATGTTTTACTTTATAGTTAAGGAAGATGTAACTTTTCAGGTCATTCTGGCCCTACTTGAGCAAGTTAGGTTAGGATGACAGCTTTGAACTGTGTGTCTTAATACATGTTGGTGAATCCATTTGTGGGTCTTTTCCGTTTGTCTCGGCATCGCTGTCCTGACCCCAGAACTGCCATTGTGCAGAGCTTTGGTGCGGCCAGCGAATGCTTGGCCCACCCTTGGAAGGGATTTTGGGATGCCTCAGCTGCAGGAGCTGGGACTGGGCAGTGGGAGTCCTGTGCCTGATGGCCTGAGGACCTCTCGAGAAGGTGACACATGACCACGTGAGGGGGCAGCTGTGCCAGTCCATTCCCCTGCCAAAGATCCCCCATCAGAGCAGGCGGCATCTGAGACTTGTCCTGGTGTGCTGGGAGGGAGCTGGGAATGGCTGGTCTGCACAAGGTTCCTTCTGGAGCAGCCCTTGTGGGGTCCTAAGCTCTGCTCAGCAAGGGGACATCAGCTCGCCGACCACAGATTGCTTCTTTCCTTTGTTAAAGAGAGAAGATGAACACAGGGCAGGAGGCTTTTGGCAGTTGTCATTTGGCTGTTGCAGTAGAGGCTGGTGATGGTGGCACAGAGGTACACACAGCACTGCTGTCCTGCTGCAGGGTCTAAAATGGATGAACTAAATCCTGCTCCTATTGAGGCAAATGGGAGTTTTACCTCTTATTCCATTGGGAAGGAATTCAAATGAAGGGTAGTATTTTTATGGATGTGGTTGTGACTCAAGCCATCATCCAGGTATGACCATCGGCCCCATGTGTGGTGGGTCCATTTTTGGTGTGCAGAGCAGTTATGTGAGCTTGTGGCTCTATGTCTATAGTCAAATTCCCACCAGCCTCAGAGCAAGACCTCACTTAGCATGGGATAACATGTGGTCTCTATCGTCATTTTATCCATTAGGTTGCCTTTGCATGGTACTTGTGAGAGTACAAGTGAAACGTTCACAGGCAGAAAAAGTATCTCAGTACCCAGATAAGCTATGTTTTAACCTGTGAATCCAGATCCACATTGTGAAGCACAGTTTTAAACACAAGCTTTCACCAGTAGTTGGTGTTCTTACTGCAGCACCTGTGGATAGAGGGTTAATAAATACTTTCTTCAGTTCTCCCTGAAGAAGAAAAAGGTTTCTTTGTTTTAGTTTCTCTCCAAATATTAAATTTTTTTTTCTAGAAACTTTTAATTTTTGCACATGTTTTATTACCACTCACTGAAAGGGAATTATCTTCCTTTTACTGAAGTTTCAGCTGTGAAATCAGCTTTAATAAACTATGTAATTATTTTTTCTGCAGGGAAAATGTTTGAAATGGATTGTTTCTTTTTTTAGGGTTCTTTTTTTTTTTCAAATCATAAAATTATTTCTGTTTTGCTTTAGTGCACTCGAGATGTTTTGAATGTTCAGAATTCAGTGTAACCAAGCAACAGTTTTTCTTTTTTGTAAGCACCCATGAGCTGTAGGACACTACAAAAATGTCCAAGTCCTGTGCTGGCTAAACCCCGTGCATAGTGGTTTTCCCTTTCTATGTCTGCTAAAGAGAAGTATAGAAAATTTTCCCTAAGAAAGAGTCATTCATTAATAATTTAATTTCTTCTTTTAATAACACTCAGTTGTTTGAAAAGCATAATACGTTTTACTTCAGCTCTTATTTTGTACTGTACAAGTACAAAGTGAACTCCCAGCTGGCTATATAAGGATGATGGGGATGTTATATGCAGGGTATTATCAGGAGGAAAAGCATCAGAGCTACAGACTATACCTACAATATTTACAAAAGCCTGTGACCACCATCTTTGCATATTTATTAAATCAAGAAGAGCCAGGTATCTGCTGCGGTTTCTTGCAACACGTAACGTCAGGATAACACAGAAGGGAAAATGATTTAATGTCTCTGATAGGTAGACAGCAGCATCTGTCCTCTTGCATATATCAAACACAGCTTAATAACTTCCTATTTACTGCTTCACGGCAGAGGTCCAGTAAATAACCAACCTGACTGAATTAGTCTGGTTTTATACCTCAGTCCTGTATAACGAACCTCTTGAACCACACTTAATATGAACAGCAAATTTCGCACTGCACATGGAGATCTCTCAGCACAGATTAAATTAGTTATAATAAAACAATTAAAATCTATTTGCCCACAGACAGGAGGAAATGAAGGACCTGGGTGAGCAATAGGAAGGTAAGGGTGGGTTGTCAGGACATCAGAAGAGTAAACAGCAGAGCCGTGATTCTCTGGAGCAGAGCAGGGTCAAACTTACTGCAAGATAACTACGCGAGAGATAATAAATCAGTAGTACGTATTAAACACCAGATGGTTGTGCCCATGCAGGAAGGCACGGTGGATCATGTAACTGTGGTTGTTTCTAAGGATTACTGATTCAGCCTGACTTCACAGGGATATCCTAACAAATAAAATCTTTATGGCCTCTTCCGCTGGTGAACATTTTCATCTACTGTTTAAAGACGGGACCACATGTCTCAGCGTTTTCATTGCCCCTGATATCTATGCAAAATTAATTTGTTGAGTTCACCCAGTTTTAGCTGGTGAAGAGTTTTTGACTTTCTAGTACTGTAAAGTTGCTTTACAGCATTTATTACAAATACTCAGATGGACAGGCAGGCCATTGTTCCAAGCTTTAGCTCAGCCGAATCCCCAAGTGTTCCAGGCATAGAGGCAAACATACTTAAAAACTTCTAAACCTATTGAGTTGTCTTTCAGAATTGTCCAGGCAACAGAATTTATTTATAAAACTCTTGCAATCGTTGATTCAAAACAAGGTTTTCTTGTTCTGCTTTTCTCCTTTGTCCTCTTTGAACAATTTTCTTTGGAATGTTTTCGTTGTGCTTAGGAGTCGGAGATTTCCTGGGGCTTCTAATAAAGGCATTTGATTTCCACTCTCCACATACTTTAACAAGTCCAAGGATTTTGAGGTTTGACATTAACTTAAGAGAGCTGGAGATAATCAGCCATGGGGGTAAAAAGCCAGAGTTATGCAAATTATTTGTAAAATGTATAGAAAGCAAAAGAACTCTTCCTTTAAGTGTGGTTGGTGTGGGACAGAGGCTTTGTCTCCACACACAGTATCTGCATGCTCCCCTTCAAATTTATGGCTCCGATTGAAACCTGTAAAGGGGTGATCTGTAAAGTATTCCTGCTATCCTACACTTCTCAACAGGTTTATTACCTTTCGTTTATAAAATGAACAGTCTAATGAGCAGTGTTTTAGATCACAGATATCAAAGTCTGGTCATTTGTCAAGATTAGTTTCCTGTTGTGAGATTGCCTCGTGCAAAAAAAAAAGTGCATAACCTTGGGTTACTCTCTGGGAGCCGAAAAAATGCCCATAAACACTTTATAAGATAAATTTACTGAAGATTTTATAATCCTAGAATCCAGTCCAACGCAGTGCAGTGTATTTGTGTGTGTGTTATAACGCAGGGAGTATCATCTGAATACAGAGCAAGGAATTTTCTTACGTTGACAACAGACAAGTTAAAGGTGGAAAGTTCGTGCAGTATTGTCAGGCCAATTTAATGGTAATTTGAACGAGTTAATACTACGTTGACAACAATGTAATTCGTTATAACTAAAAGACTGCCTTTGGAAACGGTGCTGAAAGCCCCATCTTCGTGGCAATAGTGAGTTGCAAATAGGTAACATAAAATATTCCTATTTATGCTTTAGACATCTTATTTTGAACAAAAAGGGGGAAAAACCCCACTCAGTAAAGCAGTGTGACAGTGAGGGGGCTCCTCAGGTGAGCAACATGCTCCGCAGCACAAGGCTGAGAAGAGAGGAGGTTGGTTTTGTGTCCCAGTTAGGAGGAATGTGAAGGGTGGATGCGCTTTCCTATTTGGAATGAAGTGTAACCCGTGTGACGTTCGTGTTTTCACTTTCACTGCATGTATTTTGCGGTTTGCTTGGAAGAAGCCCGGCGGCCGCCGCAGCCCTGCTCGGGGGGATGCGCCCATCACCGCAGCGCCGCTCCCGCTCGCTTCGGGCCGCGCACCGGCCCCTCAGGCGCCAGCCTCATCCCGGGGAAGGCCCCCCCCCGTTCTCTCCTCTCTGCGGCGGGGAGGTGGGAACCTGCCCGCTGCCAGGCTGGGGGAGCGGGTCTCCGATGCGCCCTCGGTGCCCTGTGCGCCCGCGGTATCCCTCTGGAGGCAGACCCCGGCGCGCAGCGGTTTGGTCCGATCGCAGCGCTGTCGCGACAGATGGCTCAGACGAGCAGCACCGATCTGAAGCGCCGCCGCTTCCCCCCGGCCGCGGCCCCCGAAGCGGGACCCGCACGTCGGGTCCGTGCCGGCAGCGAGCGGGTGTCACCCGGCGCAGCGGTGCGAATGAGCCGGTGCCTTCACACCAGACCTGCTAATCTGCGGAGTGCTTAAGCGCGCTCCATCATAACAACAGGCTTCAGACAAAAGATACAAGCTTAATTAAACTGAGTCAAATCGGTTTAAGCAGTTAAATAGAAACAACTTTTTAAAGTGCTGAAAATCTGTTTGCTCTTTTTTTTTTTTTTTTCCTTTGTCCTTTAATCCTTTCAGATATGTTACTGTGGCTAGATAAAAATATTTCCTGCTTGGGAATTTGCTAGCTAAAGCATTGTAAGAAAAACCTCGCAGACAAGCCCGTGTGAAATAAGATGGCCTATTTACTAGCAGTGCCCGTGGGTCCTGTGTAGCATCAATGTCTCTTTAATAGATTTAATTCATTATGTAGCCAAATAAGAGCTGCTCAGTCCACCTTGCGTGGCTCGTACAGTGCTCAGCTGTTACCTCGTGGCTGTGGCCATGCAGAGGTACGCACCGAGCCTGCAAGGTTAATAGTGTAGATCTCTTTTATTAGATCAGAAGATACAGATGGGGAAATGCCACAAGTTACTGGGCTCTGAGCCTTCCTTTAGATGCCATGTGTAAATGGATTTACATTTTCCTTTCCCTCCTGCTCGTTCTGTGACTCCATCGCTTGCTGAGGAGCTAGTGACTGCCATTTTGCTGTACTACTGAGCTCAGACAAAATGGAGGCTTTGGAGGAATCAGGAACTACCACAGTGTGTGCCTTCTAAAATTGAAGATAATTGCCCTTTTCTATAAAAAGTGGTAATTTTGAGGATGAAACAACCACCAGCATACCCCATCCCAAAAGGCAGAATCTCCTTTTTCCCTCCTGTGAGTACATGGGTGCAGTTGTGTTAATTTCATTGCCAAACTGTAAATGTTAATGCACCTTGCACTTTGATATATTGCTATAAAAGATACTGAATTTCAAATCACCAAGGCCACTGCGTGATACAGGGACGTAACTTGGCTATTCATCTTTATTTGAAGCAGCCCTCTTCCTAAAAGCTCACTTAGGGAGATTCCCAGTTGCCATTAGAAAAGCAAAATAAAATTAATCTGAATCATCCTAACTTCATCTTAGAAAATTAATGATGGAGGAAAGGGGATTTTTAAAGGTTTAATAAGAACTAGTCTTGAGTAGTGTATATTCTAGAGCCTGTGATTATAGTGGTAATTTAGCAGATTGTATCACTGCCTATCTCTGCCAAAGGATGTTTCACACCATTTCGAATGCACAGTACTCCCTTCAGAGACAGGTTGTTCTGGAATAACTCAACATCCAAGGAAAAGCCATGTTATTTCACTCCTGACTTTATCAATTGCATGTGTGCGATCGCACATGTGTGCGGGTCGTCTTCTCAGCAACTGCACTGAGGTTTTGTGCTGGTTTCTGTGTTCATTGATCAGCCTCCTCAGAGACAGACAATACCAAAAATGGAAAGTCATGAAATCTGCTCAGAATAGGGTTGAAGTGCTGAAACCAGAGAGCCTGTGTAAAGCAATGTGTGAATTGGTCCTTCCTCTATAAGGTGCATTAAAGTAAATTTGGTTTCGAACAAGGTATCTATACTCTGAGAGCTCCTTTTTGTTTCTCATTTTGAAGAGGAACAAAACGGTGAGATAAGAACAAATCTTAGTATTTTTTTTCCAGCAAAGGTGATTTGGGAATCTTGAGACCAGAGGGATTGGGATTTGAATAAAGTGCATGCCTGTGATGTTTCCAAGTCTAAGGATGCAAGTCTTGCAGTGTGAAAAAGCATGAGCCAAACAGATCTGCAGTTAAATTAGAGAATTTGCTGTGTTTGAATTCATGCTCTGACGTTCCCTTTGACTTTGCTGCCTCTCTTTATTACAGGCTGTTTGCTGCTAAGTGCAGTGGCTGCATGGAAAAGATCGCCCCAACAGAATTCGTGATGAGAGCCCTGGAGTGTGTTTACCACTTAAGCTGCTTCTGCTGCTGTGTCTGCGAACGGCAGCTGAGGAAAGGGGACGAGTTTGTTCTTAAGGAAGGGCAATTGCTCTGCAAAAGTGACTATGAAAAAGAGAAAGACTTGTTGAGCTCGGTCAGCCCAGACGACTCAGACTCAGGTGAGCTTTTCCCACACCTGCTCCAACTGGAAAAGCCGCAAGGGTTCGTAGAGCTTTCCTATAGAAACATATATCCATTTGCACATCTACTTTATTTATATACACATGCAAATTAGCAGCACAGCTAAAAGAAATCCCTACTTGCAGTCTGCTCTCCCTAGCTTGATTCCCTCCCTGAACTTGCTGCTTAGTAAAGGACAAAAGCAGTTAGGTTTTGTCAATGTATTTTTCTGTAAGATCCCAAAATGTGAATCAGCCTGACTTCAGTTACCCGAGGCCTCACTCAAATGTGCTGTTTTCCATAGGCATTCTTCTATCCACTTAACATATTTTTCAGGGGATCTTCTGCACATACACTTTCAGCACTGAGCTAGGAAAGTGGACAAAGTAGTAATAGAATTTTCAAGTGTATTCTTTCTGCCAATCACAGAGAGTAACTTTAAGTACAACACAGAAGTACTGGGAGAATCTGAATGAAACTGAGAAGTGGGTTTGTGCTGCAGCAATAGTATGTGTAGCGCAGGAAGCCAGGGCAGCTGCCTGCTTGGTGAAGCTGCCTGCAAATGTGCTCGTGTTAAGGCAGACAAGTGGGCTCACCTAGAAGAGAAATAAAAGCAATAATAATAAAAAGTTTGCCTGCTACAGATCTCCAGAGTTTCCTGGAGGTCCTGCACTGTCCCTGATGAATGCAAACTGTTTAGGATCAAGGGACGTCAGGCTTGATACCTTCGTAAAATGGTCTACTACAAATCTGCAGTGATCTCTGCCTTCAGAGGGACCTGGGCTTTGAACGGTGTGATTGCAAGAGTCTGCACATTTGGCTAAGGCGAGTGTCACCACACTGTGACCAGAGCTTTTACCTTCTCCTGAAAAAGACAGCGGAGCACTCATACCTGATAGCAGATGATGGGGGTCTTCCCCAAGTTCTTCACAGTGATGGAGAGACAGATGCTTCCTTTCCTCCACCTGTTTCCTAGGGAAAGTTTTAAAAGAGAGTGAGCAAAATCCGTTTGCTGTCTATCCAGGGTTAAGAACACAGTAGTGCACAGGCCAGATAAGTCACACACTGGACTCAGGTTCTCCAGTCCAAATCCCAGGGACTTAGCAGGGGTTACAGTGAGGACTGGCTTTCAGATCACAACCAGTTCCAGCAGACATGGGATGCTTCCTTCCCGTGCCATATATGCTCAAAGAGATTGGAAAACTGCTGCCAGTGTGCCCTGGCTGATCCCCAAAGTAGAGACAGTGTGTACACAAATTGCTGCCAGCCATCATAACTGTGCACTTCTTTCCCAAGAAAATGTCTAAGAAAATCAACAATTATCATTCCATTAAGTGAACAAATGACATGAATGTTTGCCTCTGGTTGATGGGAAAATGCATTATTCTAATTTAGGTAAGAGCAGTAATTATCTTAATCTCTAATCTGAGAGCCATATTCTCCCCATTACTGAAATTTGTATTTTGATGTCAGGAATGCTGCAAGACAAAGGTCACTGCTAACTCAGCAGGACACGCGGGACCGGGGTCTTTCTTGGGGGAGCATGTTATTTATTGCCATACTGTATTTGCAGGGCCTTGAGTGCTCTGCTCTGTAAATCTCACGTCACAAGGTCTGTGAATTTGCCCCAGGCCTGTGAGTTTCCTACTTGTCCTTCAGCGTTTCATTCTCCTCTCCAACCTCAAAGTTCCACTGTCAGCCTATCTGTGTTCAAAGTCCCTTTTGAGAAGCTGTATGTACAAGGTTGTCCCCGTGCTGTAGCAATGGCATGGGGATCCTTCTCCCTTGCCTTCCTCCCTCATCATGCTGGCACTGGTAGCTGCGTTGGAGATGTGCTTTGGGCTCTCCTTCAGGACACATATTCTATTTTGTGATGATCAGCAAGCTACCACAGTGGGACAAAACAACCTTGGTTTCAATTCCATTTCCCCTTGGCACAAGGGGTAGTTTCTTACTCCTGGAGATGCTCCCCCCCCCCCCCCCCATTATTCTCTGTTAGCCAAACCCAAACCTGAAAAACAAGTTGACAAATTAAATGAGATGTTTTGTCTCCCGTTGTCTAATGCATAGAAAACGCAGATCTCCCAGATGCCTGTGTGAGAGCAGATGATTTCGCATAGCCCTGGCTGAGAATTTGTCCTTCTCCAATCAAATATTTATTCACTGGACAGAAAAGTAACTCTCCAATGAGCAATGTTAATCCTCACAAACCTTTCCTTAGAAATAGCATGCTGGAAAGTTAATAATGTCATGGTTATTAAAATGACTGAAGTTCTCTTTAATCATTAGGCCAGAGATGCTTATTAAAGTAAAAGGTGATTAGATTGATAGGTGTATAATAATCAGGCCCTAAAATGAATTTAAGTCTAATTTGTTAATTCCCCAAACATGATCTTTGAGTATATAAAAATTGCAGAGTGTTTGCTTATGCTGAAGTCCCTATAATAGTATATTAACATTTTCTGGAAGAAAAATCAGTAATCTGGTGAAATAAAATATGCTGAGTTGAAAAGTTGTTTTTCAGAACAAAATTTGTACTTGACTCTTCACGCTTTGCCACTGCAATTGGTATTTTCTATTACAACACACTAACAAACATTGTATCATCAGATTGTGTGAATATTCAGAGTTTAACAAATCATCCATTTGGTCTACTTACTTGTATGTATTTACCAAGAAAGAGAAGATTTCTGCATGCACATACAGACACGCTATAGTACATAGAGAAAGAACTCCGATGTTTCTGTGGGAAACATGAATGAGATGGCAAAGATGATATTGAATATTGTCTCTAGAGCTTAAAAATGTTCAAATCCACAGCTGGAATCTACACTATATATAGCTTGAGATATTTTTGTGATATGTGCACTTACACTGTTTCGCTGCCATAGTGGTGCAGGCAGTAGTACCTGTCTGCAGCTAATGCTTCTGGAGCAGATGTGGCTCTGCTGTAAAGAAAAGGGTGTGTATCAGCTGATGTGGTTGCAGGAGGTGAGCACATGGGGGACCAAGCGATGTCAGAAGGGCACAAAGTGTCTATGTGCCTGATTCCTGGAAATATTGAAGCATATTCTGGATTTCAAACCCCTGAATTAAAACTCAAACACATTTTTATGTTTTTATGGCATTTGATTTAGGCAGTGCACACAAATGTAAGTCAGTCTCTTCCTTCCTGCAGTTGCTTTAGGTATTCAGAGAAATATGGGATAATGTTGAACCTGCTAACTAGCTTGGCAGCTGAAGAGCAGTTCTCAAACACCCTGTTATCTTGGTGGAACAAATATGATTTCATATCCTGTTTATTTTCCATTAGTTAAAAGTGATGATGAAGATGGGGATGTTAAGCCCACCAAAGGACAAGTAACACAAGGAAAAGGAAGTGATGATGGGAAGGACCCAAGAAGACCTAAACGACCAAGGACAATACTTACTACACAGCAGAGACGAGCATTCAAAGCATCCTTTGAAGTGTCTTCCAAGCCCTGTAGGAAGGTAAGTGCTTCATCAGGGACCAGAAGTCAGCTCTGACACCAGGCTGCAGGGGTGACAGGGTCAGGCCACAGCTCCCTGCCCTTTCTTGAGACAGCAGCAGGTACCTTGGGGTGATTCCAGAGACCATGCCAGCATACGGTAATACTCACCCAAATGCCATCTCCACCTGGAGCAACCAGCAGCTCAGGACCAACCAGCTCGTTGCTGTCCCTTGGTATTCACAGCATGCAGAACAGCTCCATGACTGATTCCTGCTGAACAACAATACTTGTCTGTTATAAAACATGAAATAGGCCTTGACTATCAGTAAAAGTGGTTTTTGCCCTTCTTTTTCTCACTACAGAGGGAGTGAGAGGGAATGAGAGCGTGCTCAGCTTTGGACCAACTGTTGTCCTTCCAGTCTTGCTTTTCTATGAAACTTAACCCTTCTGTTGATCTTGTTTATAGCAGCTAGGGAAAGGTAGAATCTATTTCTTCACTGATGAAGGTGGCAAAAAGCAACCCAGCTCCCTGTTTCCTCCTGTGTGTCATTTTACACAGCTCAGACTATTTGTTCAGAGACAGAGCCTTGGGTAGCATGGTTTAGTGTGAGGTGTCCCTGCCCATGGCAGGGGGGTTGGAACCGGATGATCTTAAGGTGCTTTCCAACCCTATTCTATGATTCAGTACTTATGAAACTGGTGGTGACATGAAGGGCAAAACTTGAGTGAACTGTGCAAAAATATGAGGAACTTTTAGAAGTAATTCTGCACATGCAGTTTTTAGTGTAAGTACAGGCATAATCCTCCACACATAACTGATTAGTTTTTCTAAAAAATATTAAAATTGACATTGTTAAACTTTTTCTCCTGTAGGTCAGAGAAACACTAGCAGCTGAAACAGGCCTCAGTGTGCGAGTTGTCCAGGTCTGGTTTCAAAACCAAAGAGCAAAGGTAGGTTGTTTGTCAAGTTCTCAAACGTAAAACACAAATTGTCCTCCAACACAAGTTTCCCCCTCACCCTAGATGTAGTACCTACCACAGGGATCCCAGGGACTGAACTGTACATATTTTGCATGCGCTGCTGTCTGCATCCATACAGGAAAGGCAACTTTCAAACACAGATATTAAGTTCATGTGTTCAAAGCAACATGAAGCTGGGGGTAAATTTTGCATGCAAATACGAAATAGAAACTAAAATGTTTAAGCTTAGAAATGAAACTGAACCCACAGTGGTGTCAGCATGAATATAAATGGCCTGCTTTAATAGATTTTATGTTTGTAGAGAGTTTTGTAAGGAAACAAAATTGTTGCATTTGGAGCCATGAGATTGTTCTGTTCTTTCTCTTTTATCAGATGAAAAAACTAGCACGAAGGCATCAGCAGCAGCAGGAGCAACAAAACTCGCAGCGACTAGGGCAAGGTAGGGCCTCTGTGATGAAGGCAAAGAAATGGATAAAGAATCCGCCACATTTCTTGAAGTGCCTTTCCCACATAATGCCTTAAGTACAACCCCACAGAGCACGCATGAGTCTGTAGATAATGTGTGCCACCATCAGTGCTCCGTCTGAGTGCCCATCCCAGGGTATCCCAGAGTTCTTCCATGCGGCCAGGCCCTGGAGGTGCTTACACAGAAGCTGTTACCTTCTTTCTAGAATAAATCTGCAGTACAGAGATGCTTTCATTGGAGGAAACCTCCAGGAGGCTCACTCCAGGTAGATACTGAGAAAGGAGTCCTGCAGGCTGCCGGCAAAGGTATCATCGGCATCGCTGCCCCAGCCAAGGCAGAGGGATCTGCACAGAGGCACCAGGGCTTACCCTGCTGCTCCATGGATGCTCTTGAGCATCTCCAACTCCCAAGGTCTTGCAGCCTCAAATCCTCCTCTACAAAGAGCCAGAAAAACTGGTACCAACAGAAGTTAGATATTGATAGGGCTGTGTCACACATGGGACAGACTTTAGGAAGATATGGTCCAGCAGTATTATTTAACTCCACACACAGAGTTAAATAATAACTTCAGAAATTATTTAGTCAGAAATTACAAGTCTTTCAACTTACTGCTCAGGGTTGTACTCTCAGACAAAATGTGGAAGCCTCCTCTAAATGACAGGACACACTGAGCTGCATCTCCTCTGTGCTTGGGTTCTGTATTGCTGTTGATGCTACTGTGTGCTGCCTCTTTACTCCTAAGTAGTGACTGTGCCCTCCTGTTTGCTTTGCAGAAGTAATGTCCAACCGAATGGAAGGGATGATGACATCTTACACACCACTTGCACCACCACAGCAGCAGATTGTAGCAATGGATCAAAGCAGTTATGGCACAGACCCATTTCAGCAGGGTCTCACCCCTCCACAAATGCCAGGCGACCACATGAACCCTTATGGTAAGGCATGCATCATTCTGCCGCATCAGAAATAGCAGGGTTCGTATGCTGGTTCACACCCCACAGGTTCAGTAGAGTTACTTGCTTTTATAGTATTGTTTTCTGGATTTGTACCAGGGAATTTGTACCAGTCAGTTTTGTATATGTATATATTTTCATGTACACATAAAGGGGTAGAAGAGAGCTCATCCAAGGCTCTGGACACCCTTCAGAACTATTTCACAGTGTAATTCTGAGAAATGATAAACCAAGCAACATCACCTCTCCAGCTCCACTCTTTTAAACCAATATCCAAGACAGTGAAAAATAAACAGTACCAAATTCTAGCTCCCTCACAAGTTTTTCCTTTTTCATAGAAGCTTTGGGGGAAAAGTGCCTTCAATAAAAAGAAGCAATCTATTCATTCCGAAATGAATAAACACCCCTGTAGGATCCCTCAGATTAGATGTGTGGATTTGTTAAAAACAGGTTTTTAAGCTACTAAGAGATGTGTCACCACAGCACATTTTTCCTGTGTAATTTTATTCTCTGCCCAAAATCAAGATGATGGTTTGCTTTCGTGATTTCCTGACCACACACTTTCAAGTGGATAGGTACCCTAAATGCATCACAAGCATTAAATGCCTAATAATTGATTCTGGACAATTGCAGTGTGGCATTTAAATAAAATTTAAGAGGATTTCTCAGACTCTGGTTATTGGCCTTGCTGTAACCCACAAGGGTCTGCTATGTCAGACTTGTTTCTGCTGACCAGGAGCACTTCACTTCACTATAGAGGGGAGAGCACAAAGCCATTTCAAATGGGCACATGAGGAAAAAGAGCCAGACTAACACTTTCTTAATGCTCACAGGACTTGAGCTACAGCTCTGTCTCGTACCTTCAGAGTTGAAGTAAGTTGAAATCTTATTTGCTAAGGGAAATAAAAGGTGCTGTTCCAAACTAGCCCCAGAATTGTGGAATTTTCTTAAATGAAAGCATGTTTACAACTGTAGCTAACTCGAAGCCAGGGAAGCTGGGTCTCTCCTCCTGAGTCCTATCGCATTTGTAGCTCTGTCTTTTACCTTGTGTGTAAATGAAGATCATTACTGGTTATGGTTCTCAGACCACTTTTCCCATCATGGGCACTCAATGTCTGGTCCCACCTTCCTTGGGGCCTTGGTGCCCCTGCAAATGCCAGATCCCAACTCAGAGGGAGCCAGGGACTTGCTCCTCCTCCCCAGCACTGTTTGCTCCCGTCATCAGCCAAGACTCTCTTTTGTGCTGCTGACTGCAGTAGAAATTAAATCCTGGCAGTTCCGTGTGGCACTGCTGCCAGCTGAACTCTGCAGATTGGTTGCTGGCCTTCCTCTTTGTAGGTCAGACCCTTAGAGCAAAATTAGGGTAACATGTAAAAACAAAACCAGGAGCGTTGCCTTTTGGTGCAGCGTGCAACATGTGAGCATCGTGTGTACTGTGTCCTCCTCTGCCTGCACAGAATCCAGCTTAACATATACGTTTCATTTGCAGGAAACGACTCCATTTTTCATGATATCGACAGTGATACCTCTTTAACTAGCTTGAGCGACTGTTTTCTTGCCTCTTCTGAAGTTAACTCCATGCAGGCTAGGGTAGGAAATCCCATTGACAGGCTGTACTCTATGCAGAGCTCCTATTTCGCCTCATGAAAATAAAAGAAAACAAACAGCCGGCGTATATTTAGCCAGTGACTATTTCCAGTGCAGACTCTACAGCCATATGTTGCCCAGCTCTTCCTTCACAGTGACTCCTGTTGCCTCTGGACTGCAAAGAGCATTTTTTAGGAAGACTGTATCTGTGTGCATATATGTGTATGTATGTACATATATATTAATACCTACCTACATACATACATATATATATATAAACAAAACGCATCCACCAGTCCCATCCCCTTGATTCCCAGCTTGCACCAGACCACGAGACAAGCACGGAAGGAACAGAAGACCCTGCTCGTCAGAAGCCTTTGGTTTGGTTTTGAGCTCATCGTTGTACAGGAAATGGATTTTGCGGAAAGCTAGACCTTTTCCTCCTTTCTCTCTTCCTTTCTTTTGGATGTTTAAGCTTTGTTTGTTTTGTTTGGGTTTTTTTTAAAGCCACTGATACTGACATTAGTCGACCATATGACAAATAAATCAAGGAAACTGGAGATTCCTCCCTTTTCTTACTGCATGATTCATACTATGTTGTGGATAAATTGCCATTTGAGCTGTGAGAAGTTAATGTAAATGTGACGTTCAACATTTGTTTCCTTTCTACACTTTTTCTACATAACCTAGATCTGCTCATTAGTTTATAGCCCTTACGCATATGATACTGAGGAAAGTGGTTAACAGTAATATTTGTGGAGAAAGCCAGTGATTTCATAATAAGAAAGGTCTATGACCCTGGAGAGGAGATGCATGTTAGGGACAGAGGCATTTAGGTTAGTATTGATCTTAAATAATTAAAACTAAAGGTGCTTACAAGACAGTTTTATTTAATTCTCTTTTTTTGAAGTGTGAGAATAAACCATTTACATTTGTCTGGAAGTACTGCAGTGCCAAATTCAAGTCTAGACCATGACTGGCAAACATGTGTTGTTCATTCTGTTCTGTTTATTTATGTTTTGCATGAGGCATAAATGTTCTCCATTGTCCATCTGGAATAATTAAGCACTCCTTTAGTTAATTATCTCGCCTCAGCAAGAATCTGTGATACACAGTTCTAGCCTGAACCATCAGAAGTCCTGAAACGTGCTCTAACTGGAGAAAAAAACAGCATGAAAGAGATCACAATGGGAGGTTTAGGTATGTTGAGCTGAAGTCTAAGCTGAGTCCTGCAGGTTTCACACTGACAGGACTCCTGTATTTACAATAAATACTCAAGTAACCTGTTAGTGCAAATGTAAGATGAACAAGTACACAAATTGAAGGTAATGTCCCAGCTGAAGTCTGAATGTCTCAGATGCTGAAGTTTGAGCATATGTCATATAGGTTTTCGTAGGGCATAAAATAACATAAATAATAATAGTATAGTTATAAATATTGCCTGGTGATAATTATAATGTGGAGAGGCAGACAAGTACGGTCATGGCTCTTAGTGGAGAAAACTTCATGGGGAAAATTTGCCAGGGTAATATCAGTAATTATAGGGTGTGTTCAGAATAGAGCTCATGGGGAAAGATTGGCAGGATAGGAACTTTCTTAAATAAATACCTTTAATATATTGACCATAATAGCTGAAAACAAGTCCAAAGCATTGGCTAATCCGATTTCTCCACGCTGAGGACTGGTACCAGGCCAGCGCTGCAGAGTCTCCCGTGGGACTCAGCACCTTCTGTAGGGATTCTCTGGGACACCCATTGGGGTGGGGGTGCCACTGGGAAGAAAGCAAATCCACTGAGCACAGAGAACATATGGCCTTGGCAGAGGTGGGTGTCCTGCTGGGGAGCCTTTTAGAGAGTGGCTCACCCCTTCACTGATGGAGGAAGGTTCTCCTTGTGCCCCAGAGGGGTGGATAACAAGGATCAGATGATAAGTCTAAGGGAGTAAATAAGATCACATTCCCTACCCAAGCATGGAAACATGGACCAAGCATGTTAGAGGTTGCGAAAGCAAAAGGTGCATGTGTTTTCACTCTGTGGAGGTGAGGAAAGCACCAGGAAGGAAACTGTGTGTGCAGTGCAGGACAGCCAAGTGCAGACCCCAGGCAAACCCTCCCTCTACTGTCTGCCACGCACACAGCTCTTCCCAAGCAAACCAATGTCTCAGTGAGGATTTGGGATGACTCTCCCCTCCCTGTTGGTTCCCCTCTCCTCCCTGTGTGGCAGCAGCCCTATCTGCAGACTGCCATACCCAGGGAAAAGGGGCCATTGCACCCCTGTGCTTTTGCTAGTGACCATTGCTCGCTTTCTGACAGGGATGTGGATTTTCAGTCGAAGGTTGTGAGCCCCTGGATATGTTTTGAAATTGGAAGAATTTTCTTTTCTTACCCATCCCCTTTGATTATTTCTCCCTTTCCCTGTGTATCAAAATAAATAACAATTTCCTTTCTCTCTGCATGACCGCAAACATCTATAAAGAACTCAGGTGATCCTCACTGCTTGCAGGGCAGACGGCAAGCAGATTTCATACGGCACATTTTAAGCATTTGTCACCACCAATCTCAATGGATTCATCAAGTTTTCCTCCCCACCCTTCTGCTGTGCTACTTTAGAATCATAGAAAAGCATCTTCACCATCTCAAACACACTGGGTTTATAGCCTCTACACATAGGCACAACCTTACTTCATCCCTCATTACTGGCAGGATCAAAATGGCATTTTTAGTGTTTACAGGGACTTATATGAGAACTATAATGTGACCTACAGTTTGGAGAACTGCCTTGTCCCAACTCTACCTCTGCTTGTGGGCTGGATGTTGAAATAACAATCCATTTCCAAGGAAAGAATCAGATATTCCATTTTATAGCTGAAGTAACCATAATCTTTTGCTGATTTTTTTGGATGACTGCTACCCTTTTTTTCCTTTTCTTTCTTTTCATTGCTTGTACATACCATCCCCGCTTCTCTTGTTGTGTTGGATGATGATGCCTTAGCTGTTTGTTCCCCCATATTCTACCATCTCTGGTGCCACATGCACGACACGGTCGAGCCCTCTGGCACACATAACGTTTCCCATGCCACTGTGGGTTGCTGCTGGTCAAGGGAAGGAATGCATAGCCAATGATTTCCAATGGACCCGTTATATCTGGCAAAGGCCAAAGTTCATTAAAGCAAAATAAATGTCACTTTTTTTTTGTGGAATGAATTACCCTACTGGAGTGTGATCATTGTGGTTTTAACCTGGGACCTGCAGTAAAAGATTATAGAGCAACCTCTGACCTTTTTGATTTCTGCTTTACTCTTCTATTGTCAAGGGAACTTCACTGATCAGGTGAAAGTAAAATGTTTAATGGGCCATATCACAGTAATATCTTACACTGAGTCAAATTGATAAAGTCTTGCCAAAAATTCTTAGCATCTGGCACTTCCACGGAAACCACAAACAATGATTGCACATAAGGGAGCTTGAAGGCTAGAGGTCATGACAGCAGTTTATTACACGCACCTTACAGTGATCATTTTCCCTAGGAAATTAACCCCTCTCTAATATAAGTGCATCAAGTGAGCTCTTGACGGCGTTTCAATCATGTTGTTTTGGCTAAGCAAGGAATACATGTTAAGCTTAAGTGGTGACAAGATGCAATTAAGTAAAAGATGATTGATTAGGTTTCAGTGTTTGCTCAGTAACGTTTAAAAAAGATGGTTGTGAGATCAGAATGAACATACCAAGCACCAGCTCCCTCAAAGGTCCTTAGCGTGCAGTTACCAGGTGGTAGCAGTGGCACATGAGAGATTTGCTGGCATTCAGGAATGGCTGCTGAGCAGCGTGGCCCTTGATCCCACCACTGGGCTCTTGCCTGACCAGCAGCACCTTTCCGTTGCACAGCTGACTGTTGAGAGGACAATTCCTACCGTGCACTGCTGTTCTCAGCCCCTGTTTACCGCAGCACTGCGGATTAAACCCTGTATCATAAGCAGTTAGGGGCTGGTGGTAAATCTGTATCACAGTCACAACACGGAAGACAGTTAAATTACTGCAAGTAAAGAATGGTGGTTGCGATCACTATGGCTCAAACACTATTCTAGGCATTTTTATCTCCTTTTCTTCTTTAAACTCTGTCATGAATAACATCCTAATCACTTGGCTCAGTTGCTGCTAACCATGCCTGAAATGTGACTCAAATTAGTCCTTATGATGGTTGTGAGTGGATCTCTGGAAGCCACCCTGCACAAGTCAGATGAGTGTTACCAGGTCTTTTGAAGGGGTCATTGTCAGCAGCAACTCAGCCACCTCACTGTGCTGTCACTGCATGGGGAAGGTACTCCATGCTGGCAAACCTTCCAGGGATGATGTGAACCCACTTACCTCTTCCTACTGTGCTCAGGACTCCCTTCCAGTTTCCTTAAGGATCAGAAGTATATCCCAAGCCACCACCACAGGTGCCCCAGGGAACCCGACTCTGTGATGCTGCTAGGGATGCTGCAAGCTGGGGTTTGGGAGAGCTCCTCTTTGAACCATGTCGTAATAACTCTGGTTGTCCCTAAAAGCCACTAGAAATTAACAGCAGAACCCAGGAGGAAGGGAAGGGTTCTCACAAGCCTGCAGCTTGGTCACAGCAGTGAAAGGACCGAGAAGCTACTGAGGCACATCAAAGCCATGGGAGCTGGAGCCACAGTATGCACAGTCTCAAGTGCTCAGGATAGTGCTTTACACAGCCCCATGCCCAAACCACGTCATGTGTTTCTGAACAGCAGATGCTCCCTGTGTGTCTGGGTCCATCACCAGCCCAGTGGCATGGGACAACGGGTGCTGCACCCACAGCAGCGTGGCCAGGGCTTCAGGCATCTCTTCTCTTGGTTAGGGGGGTACCTGGGACTTGGTACCTCTTGGCAGGTACCTGAAGTCTTTCAGCTTTGATGGGATTTAAGCACAGTCTTGCTTGTTTGAGGCCTAGCTGAATAAACTGACAACTATTTGCCCTCCACAAGGATGCAGCCAGGTCCCCTTGGTTCTGCACACCCTGTTTCTGCTCAGCAGTGACTGTGAAGGGACTGCCAGCTCCTTTGCATTGGGAACTCTGTTTTTAAGTGAACACCCTATTTTTTAGCTGTGTATGGCTGTATTACTTGTATATTTATATATTCTGTATTTATGTTATCGAAATGTAGTATTTTGTAGCTGTCTGTTACAATTTGTTTAACTTGTAAAAAAATATGACTATGCTCTCTCATACTTAACCAGCTGCCTTTCACCATAGACTCTCTGCTCCTTTCCCTCTGTGCTGGTAACAAACCACCATAATGTATGTAGATCGGATTCTTGTTATGTTTTTTTGGTTTGTTTTTTTTTTTTTAATTTAATTACTTGTCATTGTTAAATTATTTATTAGCGTTTTGAAATTTCAATTCACTGCATTTTTTTTTCCTGCCACCATTGCCTGGCACCTAAGATACGTGATGAGTTTCTCATACATTATGCTCCTTCCCACGTGCGTGCACGCACACACACACACACTCTAAACAAAACCAGAAAAAGAAAAAAAAAAGAGAGAGATGACACTTCAGTATATTTGTAAATAAAAGCAACCTGTAAACAAAGCAGGATTTTCTTTCAGTGTGCAGTTCTTTCTTTGCTTTTGCAGACTGAAAGCGCGTTCTCTTATACCCCCTGCCTGTGGCAGGCGGTTGGAACTGGATGAGCTTTAAGGTCCCTTCCAACCCAAACCATGCTATCACAATCCTCTGCCATTTTCGCATGGCCTAGTTTAGGGCAGGAAAAGTGTGTAGGAATTAGAGGTGGTGCAACCAGCCCAGTCACTCAGACAGAGCTCTGTCAGGAGCAAGATATGTGTGGAGCAGGCACTTCTTGTTCCTGGCAGTGCCAGGAAGGCTCATTCTGGAGCACGTGGATGTGACTAGTCAACTGCAATAAGCCCAGTGGCATTTTGGGCATACCTGGGGCCATGACAAGCCTGAGTGCACCACTCCTCTGCCACTGGGCACAGGTGCAGCTATAGAAGAAACCAAGGAAATACCTATTCATTACAGAAAACAGCTTATACCATGAACACAGCGACTCACTGTAGAGTCTGGAGAATGAGCAGTGTTTCTGCATGAACTGCTTTAGGGCAAGACAACAGTGCTCATTGCCACCACCTGCAGTGGTGATGTCCAAGAGCCAGATGAGCTTGCAGAGTTAAAGGCTGTTTGCTGCTGTTAGCAGCAGTGCTTTGGTGCAGCCTCCCAGCACTCAGTGGTCCGGCAAGGAAAGGCTGCCTCGAGCCTTTCCTCACCACGTGAGACATGGACTGGTCCTATCAGGTCCAGTTTCATGGTAAGGCGAGTGAGACACTGTTATTAGGCTCCCTTGAAAATTTGCCATTTAAACTATTTTAAGCTGAGAATTCTGATTTCCGGCTAAAAGCTGCTCTTCACCTACAGAAAACACATGCTTAGTTTTCCAGCAAAAATTTTGATTTCTTTTAAAGAAGTAAAATATCTCAAATGGAAAATTTCTGACCAAAACCTGCTAGGTTTTCAACAGACACAGTGAGAAAAGAACGCATTCTGCAAGATTTCCTCTAAAGGGAAGTGAAGTAAAGCAAAGCAAAGCAAATGCAGGTGTGGAAAGTGAACCAGCTCCAGGACTAGGCAGCCAGATAAGCTGGGCCAAGGGGTTTAACCACTTTTTCTCTGCTGAAGTGACAGAGAAGTGGCCATGGCTATTCTTTTATTACCTTAACCAGTGCTATTTATCCTTAAGTGAAAGGCCAGTGGTATTGCTGACTTGAAGCAGCAGCACAAGAAGAGACATGCAGGGGCTATGAGAAAGCCCAATGGTCCATCCTGCTGCTGAGCTGGGCTGGCTCCTCAGGCAGCTGTGCCTGGGGACAGGGAGCCAACCCAAACAGCCTGCCTTGGCACAGGAACTGTGCTGCTCTGCTGGTCCCTGCCACAGAGGGTTCATACTGGAAAACAGAGTGCTAGTATCCTCTGTGCTTGGGCTCAGAAAGTCCTCTCTGCTGGCAGTTGTTATGGTATGTACAGGCAGCACACAGGGACCAAGCTGTCCTGCCTTACAGCCCTGTCCAAGCACCACATCCCTCTGGGTCCCCACGTTGTCCTGCATGGTTGGCAGGACCATATGGTTGGGGGCTCACCAGGATGGACAGGAGGAGCACAGAGCAGCACAAGCAGCCACAGGCCTTGCTGCAAGCCCAGAGCATCCTTTCTGTTCAAACTACCACCAGTGCTGCCCTGAACTGGCAGAAGCCCTAACAAAAAGGCTGGAGTGATTTCAGCAACCTAACGGGGTCTTTCCTGAGGCAAAACACATGCAAAGGGAGCTGTGTGCTAAAATAGACAAATGTGTGTAAGTATTACCGATAGATTATAAAGTACTGGTCTAGGAATGGCAAATTTGAGACCAATATAAAATGATAGATGCATGCTGGTGTCTCTTGGGCCATGTAAACATGAACATGAACTTCAGCTGAGGTTTGATCTGGTCACATGTGATTACTCACTCATTGCCATTCCCCAGGTCCAGACACACTACATTTCTGTGCCTCAGGCATAAATTCACAATTTCTATTTTTCATTAAAAATCAAACCATACAGTTTTACAGCTAAGCTGGTAGCACCAAAAAGGAAAGCTCTGCTTCTTCCAGTCACACCATTCCAGCACATCCTTTGCAATCCTCGTGCAGCAGGGCGAGTTCGCCTGGCTTGAAAAACACTCCATTAAGGACCAAAATGAGAGCATTTTTCCCCTGGAAGAGCTGCTTAATCTGACTTGTGCTCTAAGCACAGGGCTGCAAGAGTCAATGAGAGAAAGGCCACGCACCGGGGAGCTGAGGCTGGGCTGGAGGAATCCCAACTGCCCTTTCCCATGGCAAGCCCCAGTTTTAGCAGTGGGAATGTGGGGTACCCCGGGTGGAGGATGTTAAAGAAACGACTGCTCTTTCCCACTGCTGTTTGCACATTGTGTGTGCAACATCACAGCCAGCACAGCACATCAAGAGGTGGCAGCTCGGTGACATAACCAAAATCAATTATGTTTAAAACTTTTTCCCAATATTAAGTTCCTAAAGCACGGAACTGCTGAGCAGGGACCTCTCTACTAAAACTCTCTCCAAGGTAAGGGGGGATACATCTGAAGGCCTGATCAATAAAACATCTTTGTTCCCACTCAGCACCTTCTTTCCCTTTTGCTGTCCAGCTCCAAACTGCATCATCCTGTCCCCCCTCATGCTTGTTATTGGTGGAGTGTCACAGAGGAAAAATGAATTGCCATTAGCAATTGGTTTCACCTAAGTCAGAGTTAGCTACTCAAATATTCATGCTCTCTGTGCATCTAATATTTATGAAGGAAGAATTACTGAGTTGCCCATAGCCATTTCTGAATCTCCCAAAAAAGATAGGTGAAAGGGATCAGCAAAAAAGAAAAAAAGATGATTAATACATTTGGGGCTTGGTGTTCTGCATTGTTTGTGCTGTGTTTCTCTTTGGTGTCAGTGAGACAGAATGAAGACTGATTTATATGCCACAGCTGTAGCAAACAAAAGAAGAAGCAACCAGGGAAATGGCTAGAGGTAAAAATGCCGGTGCAAAGGGCTAAAGGCCTGCACCTGGGTACTGCTTCCCATACAGTCTACCCCCCCTTGGAGCACCTTGTAAAATCAGATTATCTGCTGGACACAGGAGTTCAAACAGCCCTTCAAAAGATTTGTCTTAATAATTGCTGCCTTATCTTAACTTCTGGTTTTTTATCAGCCAAACTGCTGCTGGGAGGCAGATCCCAAGGATAAGGTGCTGTCACTCTTAATTATTATTACCTCTTATAATGAAAACGCATTTGTTCATCCTTCTGTGCACTTGGAAATGGTGTAACTAATGAACGTCTAGTGTTTTATCAATATTTTTAATAACATAAAAACCCACTACACGTATGGCCCCACTGTATAAATGATTGTATATTAAATGCTATTAAATAAATAAATTGCAAACTTGCCTCTCATTTATATTCAAATATAAACTGATTACTCTGTAAGACACATTTTTACATGCTCAGAAAACTGTTCTTTTCCTGAAAACCAAATTCTGCACTTAAGATGCTCTGGGGCTATTTTCCATCACAGAAGGAATGTGGTAATTAGCACTAGAACCAGCAGGTACATTCTGAAATGAGAGTAATGATAGAGAATGCTATTTCTTTGCTTACTTATGATGGGAAAACAAAACAATTCTCTTTGAAAGCCCGCTAATGAATTTGGCTTGTAGTATTTATCAAAGCAACAGCCACCATTTGCATTCTCAAACTGGTTTTTCGCTTTCTTTGAGAACTAAACATGAATTACTCTGAAGTGAAAGCACAGGGTCAGTCATATGCGTGGAAGACCTTAAATTCAGGAATGATCTGTACATGTTCATCTCCTTGGCCCACAGTTCCTCACTTGGGTCTGACTGCTCCCACCCCGTGGGATGGTGGCTGGGGTGGGACTCCCTGCTCAGGGCTCACAGCAGCTCCTGCAGACCACTGGCTCTTTAGTATCACACTCTGAGCAAGACATGATATTATACATAACCAAAGCTGCCCCCCAAAATACAGAGGAAAGAGAATAATACCGAGTGGAGAATTATGTAAAACACAGCATGAATTAGAGCAATGAGCAATGCACATTTTACTGAGTCTTGATAGAGTATTTGCTCTTCTCTACCCTCCAGATTTACCCTTTTGCTCTTCTCTACCCTCTGGATTTACATTAACTGATAATCTTTTGACCTTGAGTTAATAAGAGGGCACTGCATTCTTTTTTAGGAAACAGTGATATTTTTGTGGGCCTTTGGGCTGCTGTTTCCACAAGGAACTATGCAGGGGACTTACACGACATATGCTCACTCGAAAACCTTCCTGCCCACCACTTGTGCCAGCTTACCCACTGATAGCTGGTAGTGATCCTTCCCTAGCAGCAGCAGGTTTGATTAGGCCCTAGCACAGATGATGTCTGAAGCAAAAAGGATTTTGGAAGACAGCAGATAAAAGCAGTGCTTTTATGACAAGTATTTAATAGTTGACATCAAGAATGACAGGCTGGAGCTGTGAGCAGAGCCCAGAAGCCTGGATCCATTGCTCAAACCACTCATGTTGTCTTGTCAGTGACACACAGGTTGTTCACATTGTCCCTCCCCTTCCCAAAAAAATCCTTCTATATTCTGCAATATTTTACTTCTAAAAAGGCTTATTCAGAATTCAAGTGCTTTTGTCAGAGCTGAGCCATTTTTCCATACAAATTACTGTAGAAAAGGGTAAGGCACTGAAGGATTTCTTACAGCTTTCTACCTGAAATATTATTTCCTGCATAAACAACTAACTTCCTTTTGCAGCATCAGGACTATGACCAGCTCAACAGAGCTCTACCCAAGAATACTTTAGCTAAAATACTTTTAGCTCTTCTGCTGCTTTAGTTCAGTGTTCAGGACATTGTTTTGAGAACTATGAAGAAACAGAGGTGACAAAACAGTGTTGAGAAGTTAGGTAATGGTAGTGGCCAAAAGACACAAAGTCACAGGGAAGATGACAGTGATCAGGATGATGGAGT